TGCGGTGGTTTTGCCTGAAAAGAAAACTGTTTGCGTTTTTAAAGTCTGGGCCTTGCAATTGGCACTCACTAAGTTGTAATGAACCAATTCCCTCCGTGTACGCAATTACAGAATTCCTGTATCAGATGCCAAGAAATTCCTCACCGCTTGTTTTAAGACCAGTGTGACATTTGAGTGTCGCAACTGTACCCTCTTCAAGTGGTGAAGTTGGTAGAACTTGGATGGTATTACTAGGAGGTGTACATTAAACGAGCAGTTGGACTGTCCGGTATCGGAGGGCAGGTAGCATCTGCACACAGGAAAACTTATGCATACAATCATGACCGCAACAATATTACACTTGAGATATTCAATTATTATTAAAATTTCTCACAGCATTCCCTGATGAGCGTTAGTACCACGAGTATGAAGATGGACGGCCTGCACATAATTGCACCTCTGTAAACAATTACCACTTAGGTAGTAGATCTGGACCATAATTTCATGCGGAAATAGAGAAAAATAGCTTGGTAAAAGGATAAAAGGATAAAAGGATAAAGCATTTGTAGTTGATCAATCCCTTTTTGGGATGCGGCAAGCATCCTACTATATATAATCGGCTAAGCGGTTGTGTGTGTGTCTGACCGGAAATTCATAACTTCACCCCCTTTGGACCCAGAGCGCTCAAACTTCTAGGATATATAGGGGGCCGGAGGTGAACACTGATGATAACTACTGATAGGAGCTGATAACGGACGTCGAAATGTTGATGTCACCAATTTCGTTACGCCGTTCGCGTTGACAGGTGGAGAGTTTGCACTCATGTATGATATGTGGGGTGAGGCGGGGACCAAGAAGTTGAGTGAACGAATGTGGTAGCAACTGATAAGAACTGATAAGGGGCGTCAAAGTGTGGATACCACCAGTTTCGTTGCGGCCCTTGCGGTTACATTGGAACCTTGGCTCTCACATGTGGTATAGGGGATGGGACGGGAACACGGATAGCGGATGATCAGAAGTGATAACAAGCGATAACGGTTGATAAGGAAGTTAGGATTTTGAGTACTGCTAATTTCGTTGCAGCCTTCGTGGTGACAGTAAATATTAGCTCCTACACGTTGCCTGGAGGTTGGGACCGGGACACCGATTGCGAACAGTATGAACTGATAACAAATGACAAGGAATGATAAGAGCGTTTGAATGCAGGTCTCTCCAACTTCGTTGCAATTATCACTGGCAAGCGATCAAGGTGGCGAGGGTTGAATGTAGGTGACAGAAAGTGGTATGAGCGGCAACTGTACTGATAAAAGTAGCGACAGTTGAGCGTGCACTCAGTTGAACTAAACCAGGTCCCTAGCACGTGAATATGTTCCATTCCTATCCTTTCATCTAAAGAAGCAAAGAAAGTTGAGCTGCTCAACTATCTGGGCTTGGACCAATAGCGAATTTCCATCATATTTGCAATCTCCATCATGGTTAGATGCTGATTGATTGGTTATATTTCACTTACACACCGATTCTTCAATTGTGGAAATTCTATAAACCGCTAAATCACCCGAGCTCGATATCAATGCTAAATGTTTACGAAGTCATGATAAGTACCATTTTCATTCCGCATGCTACTGCGCGCATTACGCTACAATCTTCAGCAAAATTGGACAGCCTTTGAAATTCATGTGACACATCTTCCAAAACATCTTACTGTTAGTTTCTCAGCCACGTGACCTAATATTCAGCAAGTTGTCCAGTTTCACTAAGCCTACCATGTGATGCGCGCGGTTGCGTGCGGAGCTAAACTGGTTTATATATAATTTGCACATTCGTGGTGGTTTGAATGTGATGTGCCTATACAATGACTTGCGGGGGCCAGCCGATGTACAAGTCAGTGTTTTTATCCTCCCAGACAAGTCTGGTACCAATTAACCGACCCCGGAGGGATGGAAGGCTTGGTTGGCCCGGGCGACTCACGACCAGGATTTGATCCCGGACCGCTCGCGTGGTAAGCGTGCCACTTGCCACTACAACATATAGCTTGTAGGGGTCCAGTAATATATGTAGGTTTGCTGCCAGAAATGGGCAGCTGGGATGGGCAGCCTAAGCATTTAACGTTGGCTCCTAACATTAGGGCGAGGTAACGTGCGATTATGGGGGGGGGGGGGGTGAGGGCGCATCAGCCTCCAGATAATTTCGGAAGGTGACCCCCGAATTTCAGAAACGGAAAGGTGCATTGTTAAAGGTACGGGTCGTGATCGAATTGTTTCTTTGTTCGAAAATTAGAGCAAGTGCGAAGGGAACACCACTGGGGAAAAAAAGGAACGCACTCTGGAAAGCACTGAATTTCTCGTCAGGTCGACCGTTGTTGGGAGAAACACAGCGTGCGAGGAGAGCAGAAGCCAAGAGATCACGTCGTACGGTAGAAGGCGCAGACGCGACAAGCGACCTATGCCGCATTTGATAAGAATGGCAATGGTCACAGCGGTCAAGAAAATGCTTTAGCCCCCTTCGCACTTTCAAATCGCAACAATAACTCCCTTGTGAACGGTGCACTGTAAGATGAAAGGTAGCTCATTGGAAATCAACGTAAAGGCGGTCATTAGTACACGGCTTGAGAAAAAATCATGAGAAACCACCTAGAACCCGTAAAATGGAACCCCTGCATTGTGCTTGATCTCCGCATTATCGCTAATTCATCGGTGCTGCCTTCAATGTTAACGCTTTTCCTGCTAAACGGAACGAGACGGCGATGGTGAGCGGGCAGTAGCTGAGCGGAGCGGGTATGGCCCTGCTAGGTCGTTGGCGGCAGACTCTTCGTAGCAGAACGCCCATCGTTCAGCATCCGTGGGAGACCCGTCTGGCTTTTGATTAGGTACCTTTCTATTATTAGACCTCCGACGTTTTCGTGGAATCATCCTTTAAAGGAAAAATCATGATTCTATTTCAGCCATAAATCACTGGCTTGAGACTCATTATCCACGATAAGAATGAAAAGAACAGAAATATTGCTTTTGTTTTGAAAAAAATTCGAAAAATCGAAAGGGCTGCTACGCGTTCAATGCCCACGGACGTCTTTCACAAATGCTGGCGACGGGGATGCTTCCACTTGGTTCTTGGAGTGCCTTCACTAGAAACTCTTTCTGGCCTTCTGCTTTATTGCATTCACATCTTACACTTCTACTCCATCCTATTCTATCGATCGATTTGTCTCTACTCTCCGAAATCGCGCGCTTTAACCCGATTCTTTCATTGCGTCGCCTGATACGTAGCCGGCCAAAGGCCAACTTCTTTCCATGCCTCGCCTTTGGCTCCGCCCGAATTACCTTCGATTGTCCATAGAATGTAGTTTTTGTACGTTTGTTTCTCTTCGGAAACCGAATCTTCATGCGTGAAACTTTGTGTGCTGCATCCAGTGATCACAACTGACACATTCATGTTGAGGAAAGAGTGCAAGAATTTTCCGCGAAGGATTCCTTCAAGACAAACTCTCTCTGGTCACTTAAAGTTTTAACAAATTACCGCTTCGCTTGCTCTGCTTAACAGCTTGTCTGTCTGCATCTTGACCGCCATTTCGGCGTTCTATTAGTTAGACATCTTCGAGAGTCAAAAGAAAGGGAAATGAATCGAAAAAGGATTGAAGTTGTAACAAAAACATGAAAAAACGCAAAGTTGCGGCAAACATCCTTATAGTATGTGAGCAGTAAATGATGCTAGTGGTGAGTAAATATTGGTGATATTACATACACTTATCAGGACATAAACGAGAATTGAATGCCAGCACCTGTTGGATTTCACGGTTTGA